ACTCCCTTTTTTGGACCATGAATTTGACCTGAATGTAAAATTTTTCAATAAACCTCTGACTTTCTAGTATATTGGGGAAAAATGGTTGAGGCTATTCATTTTGAGGAGCCATTGGAAAAAATAAGTAATTTAAAAAAAAGTATATAGAGACATTATCAGTTTTGTGTATTTGTTGCCTGAAAATTTAGCTATTAAATACTATTCTCAGGTCATATAACTGTGTTATGTTTCTTTAATACTGTACTTCTTAAGTAATCCATTCTTAAAATTGATATTTCAATAATTTGATAGGGCTAACTTCTTTTTTTTTTTTTTTTTTTGGAGACATAGTCTCACTCTGTTGCAAGAGTCCTCTGGCATCAACCTAGCTCACAGCAACCTCAAACTCCTGGGCTCAAGCAATCCTCCTGCCTCAGCTTTCCAAGTAGCTGGGAACAGGCGTGTACCACCATGCCTGGCTGATTTTTTTTTTTTATATATATTTTTAGTTGGCTAATTAATTTCTTTGTATTTTTAATAGAGAAGGGGTCTCGCTCTTGCTCAGGCTTGTTTCGAACTCCTGACCTTGGACGATCTGCCCGCCTCAGCCTCCCAGAGAGCTAGGATTACAGGCATTGACCCACTGTGCCTGGCCCATAGGGCTAAATTCTGAAAGAACTAAAATCACTTATCTTGAATTTGTAGTATGTAGAAAAAGATTAAAGAGCTCAAGTCACTTTTGAAGTAGTTTTAATACATTGCTTTTATTACTTAAAGTTTTCTTTTTTTTTAATTAATTTTTTTTTGTTTTGAACAGGCAATATATTCACGATTCAGAAATCAAAGCAATATAAATATACTTTGATAAATTTTGCTCGTACATTTGACCACTGTATTTTCCCCTCTACCAGCATCCCCTATTATGTAACTATATTTGTTGGTTTTTGGTGTATTTTTCCAGTTTTTTTATGTAGATATAAGCAAATATGAATATATGTTCTTATTCCTCCTTCCTTACACAAAAATATAGCAAATCATGTATACTGTCCCACATCTTGATATTTTCTCCTTCTATGATAATGTACCCTGGAGATCTTTCCATAGCAATATATTGAGTTTCCTCTATTTTTTTTTTTTAATTGCAAAGTATTCCAATTTGTAGATGGAATCCTTTATTGAATACTGGAGAATTTCCAGTCTTTTGCTATTAGTGCTGCAAATGCATATACATGCTTGCACACACAAGTTCTTAGATGTATCTGTAGAATAAATTCCTGGAAGTGATATTGCTAGCTGTAAAGGGTAAATGCATATGTGTTTTGTTAGACAGTGTCACCTTTCTCTTCATAGAGGTGGTTCCATTTTGTATTTTGCAAACTAACAATGTATAAGAGTGCTTTTCTTCCACAGCCTCACCAACTGATTGTTAATCCAACTTTTGGATTTTTATCAAGTGAAAAATGGTATTTTGGTATGAGGTGTATTTTTAAATAAACTTTATTTTTAGAGCAGTTTTAGATTCATAGCAAAATTTAGCAGAAAGTACAGAGTTCGCTTATACCTCCTGTCCCCACACATGTACAATCTCCCCAACTTGAAATTCTATACCACAGTGGTACATTGGTACAGTGAACCTACATTGACACATCATTATTAGCCAAATCTCATAGTTTATATTAGGGTTCACTCTTATTGTTACATATTCCATGGGTTTTAATAAACGTATAATGACATATATCCACCATTGTAGCGTCAAGCAAAATAGTTTTACTGCCCTGGAAGTCCTCTGTGCTCTGCCTGTTCATCCCTTCTTTCTCCCAGCCCTGGCAACCACTGATCATTTTACTGTCTCAGTAGTTTTGCCTTTCCCAGAATGTCATGTAGTTGCAATCCTATAATACGTAGCCTTTTCCAATTGGCTTTTTTCACTTTGTAATATGTATTTAAGTTTCTTACATGTGTTTTCATGGCTTGATAGCTGATTACTTTTTAATGCTGAATAATATTCCATTGTCTAGATGTACCACAGTTTGTTTATTCATTCAGCTACTGAAGGATATCTTGGATGCTTCCAAATTTTGGCAATTATAAATAAAGCTGCTATAAACATCTATATGTGGCTTTTTGTGTGGACATACATGTTTTCAGTTCATGGGTAAATACGAAAGAGTATGATTGTTGGATCATATGGTAAAAATATGTTTAATTTTATAAGAAACCACCGAACTGTCTTCCAAAGTAACTATAGCATTTTGCATTTCCTCCAGCAATGCATGAGAGTTTTGTTGCTTTACATCCTTGCCAGCATTTGGTGTTGTCAGTGTTTTAAATTGTGGCCATTCTAGTAGTTGTGTAGTGTTATCTTGTTTTAATTTGAAATTCCCAGATGACATATGATGTTGAACATCTGTTTGTATGCCTACTTGCCTGATATTCCTTGGTGAGGGGTCTGCTTTGATCTTTGGCCTATTTTTTAATTGGGTTGTTTTCTTATTGTTGAGTTTTAAATGTTCTTTGTATATTTTGAATAATGGTCCTTAATCGGTTGTATTTTTTGCAAATATTTTCTCCCAGTCTGTGGCTTTTCTTTTCATTCTCCTGATAAACATAAACTTTTTTATTGAAAGTTAAATTGAAAGTTTTATTGAAAGATAAACTTTTTATTGAAAGTTAACCCATATAGAAAAGTGCAAAATTGAAAGTATATAGTTTCATGAATTTTCTAAGTGAACATATTATTGGCTTCTCCATGTAGTTTGAATTTGCTTTTCTCTCATCAGTGAAGTTGAGCATCTTTTCATATGATTAGGGCTGTTTCTGTTTATTTTTCTGTAAGCTGTTGGTTAACATCTTTTACCTATTTTTCATGTAAATCACTGTTCCTTCCCCCCTGCCCCCCAAGGAAGGCTTTGAAAATTAGGGAGTTATTCCTTTGTCTGAGATATAAGTAAGATTTTTTCCCCTTCATTTTTCTCATCAGTCTTTTGACTTTGATTTTAATTACTAATTAGTTTGTTTTGCTATGCAAATAATTTGAATTTCCTCAAATATCTGCGGTCCCCAAACCCCTCAAATTGCTGGGGCCTGTTAGGAAATGGGCTACACATCACTGTCTGAGCTCTATACCACCAACCCCCTACCACAACACCCTTCCACTCCCACCCTGGGTCCATGGAAAAATCATCTTCCATGAAACCTGTCCCTGGTGCCAAAAAGATTGCGGACTGCAGCATGAATACATGGAATCGCTTCCCTTTTCCTCACTTTAGAACTTAGCTAAAGTGTTGCTGCCTTCCAAAATTTTTCCTAATATCTTTCAAGGTTTCAATAAGTATCTCATGTTCCCTTAGTGTCTTTTTTGTATCCTTATCTTAGCATTTAACCACAATCCTTATCTCCTTATTTTTCCATAGACAGTAAATTCCTTGAGGGCTACAACTTTGTTTTATTGATCTCTTTGTCTCAAGTGCTTACCTCTCAGGATACAGTATACAATGATGTTTAGTGTTTTATATAAATGATTGCTTCTTTGTTTCTGGGATCATGCTATTTTCTACTTTACAGTCCTTGCTATCTGATTTAATTATTCTTGATTTGCTGTTGGTGAACCAGCTAATCTTATTCACCCCTCTTGTCATCCTGTCATTTTCTACTATTTCCTTTGAGGATTGTTTTGGAGCCCCTGTGAGAGATAACATCTTATAAACATTTTACTTCTTAATAATTATCATCTATGGAAATGTTTTGATGTAAGCAAATGATGTTTTACTTCTAAGTCTTTTTTCTTGATCTTTTTTGGGGGAGACTGTGTTATATCTCTTTTTTGGTATGTTTCTACAATATAATTTTGTAAAAACATATACAAAAAGTGAGGGATTAGTATAATGAACTTTCCTGTACTGGAAACTTCAACAGTTATCAAGTCATAGTACTTTAAGGTAAGTCCATCATTAGAGTTGTATAGTTTACTAGAGGCTATCTAGGGCTAACCTCCCACTCCAAAATGCAAAATGGTGATCCAGATACAATTTGAATGTCTCTGTGCATAGGAATTTCAACCTCCTTGATGCAATCTGTTTTATTATTGAACAGCCACATTTGTGAATTGAGCCAAAATGTGCCTGTGAAGAAACTGGATTGATCCAGTTTTAACCACTTTCAACATAATACTTTTAGTTTATTGAAATAGTATTATAACTTTCTTATTAAGCTTAAAAATGTTAATTTTAAATGGCGTCTTAAAAAAGAAACGTAGTGATACTAGTAAAAAACTGACAAACATGTTAATGACTGGGGAAACAGTTTCACTTTCCCTATTGATTTGTCAGTTGCTAGCTACTGACAGTCTTTTGAAGAGCCAGTATTTCAAGTTAACTTCTGGCTTAAAACTTGAACACATTTTAATCACAGAGGGAGTTTTCATGTCTTTTGATGTTAAGATTGCAGTCTGTAACTGGAACTTATCAGTTGTGGTCATACTGCCTTTCTGTTCTCTACTTAACATGTCCAATCGATACTTTATTTATGAGATCTGTAAAGAATTTGTTTTCCATTTAGAAATTGCCAATTCAGATTATTGCATTAATTTCAGAATCACTCTATAGGGTAATCACTCTGTAGGGTAATATATATGTCAATTATGGTTTTATTGTTAAAAATCAAATAGCCCAGGTTATTTAAGTGATTTCTTCTTTTACTTATATTGTTTTATTAGTAATGGTTTTGAATGGAGAGTACATTCTAAGATAATCTTTATGAACCCTTAACTTTTCCTCCCAAATGTTCAGGTCACTTAATATTCTTTGTTGATTATGCCCTATAATGTAGTTATCTGTGCTTTACCACAATGAGAATTATGTATGGACCATATTTGTTAGATTTTTCAAAATAACTTATTATATTTAGTATGTGTTTAAGTATTTCATTAACATTTTTGTGTAAAATGAGGATTGAATATTTTATTCTCATTGGAAGTTCAAAACTAGAATGTAACCTCTCTCTTCTTGATTTCTGTAGAGCAGGTTGTTGCTCTGGATGCCCAAAATATCGTAGCTGTTTCATGTGGAGAAGCTCATACATTAGCACTAAATGACAAGGGCCAGGTGTATGCTTGGGGTCTTGATTCTGATGGACAACTTGGCCTGCTAGGATCAGAGGAATGTATCAGAGTACCCAGGTAACACAGGTGACCATAAAGAGGTCCTTAATAATCTTTTTATAATACATTTTTTAATCTAAATTGTTCTGCTTACTGTGGGCATGTATGGGTTGACACCTAATTATTTCTCCCCTTTGAGTCCTTTAAGAGTTTGGTTCTTTATATTTTGGTTAAGCTATTGATTGACTATTTTTTATGTACTGTATGTTTTCTCCATCATCAATAGAAATTGTATTTATGTTTGTAAAGAAAAGGGATGGGGGATAAAAGAAACTTCAAGGAACCAAGATATTCTTAAACTAATTTTAGATTTGTTCCAGGTAGCATTTTTCTGCACATTATTTATATGCTTTCTTTTTAACATTTTGTTTTGGTTTGAAAACTGGTATGTAACTGGTAGGATAAGAAAATGGAGCATAGGAACTCTTAATTTGACACTTTAAATTTGCTCTGTTAATGAATTATCTGTTGAAGCTTTTGGATACATCACATTCACATGTTTTCTTTATTGAGCTTACATCCAAATTCCATAAAACTCCCCAAACAAATTTTACCTTTTGTTTCTACTGCACTAACAATTAAATAAATACAATTCCTATTATACTTTTTATATTTCTTGATGGTACTTTTGGGAGAAAAAAATTTTTTTCTTAAGCCAAGTAAGTTGAATATTTTAGTCATTTCAGTTTTGATTTCTTTCAGAAATTGGTAATTTGTAACCAGATGGTATTGCCTAGATAATACAAAGCATTTATAGTAACACAGTGACCTCACATTTGACCATTTTACCATTAAATCTACTGCTTTTATTTTTCTCTCACAAGTAAAACTATGATTCATAGCAAAGCTTTTTTATTTACCTTATTTTTACTCTACTCGTCTCTTAATTCTTATACTTAACATTTCTGTTGCTGTTCATTTCTAGTATGAGGGATTTTAGTCAGTAATACATTGGTGAATAATAAATGGAAAGGTAATTATTATATGAAAACTTTGTTGAAGGTTACCAAATAATATATTATGCATTTGTGACTTCACGTTTTATGAATCTGGATGAGGACCTGAAAGAGAATTTACTTGAGTACTTTGGTTTAAACGTCTCTTTTGTGTGTGTGCTAAACATCTATATTGACTTTAAGCTGTGTGTTATGGTTCTACTGTGCAACCTTTCAGTTTTTCAAAATGTTATGTATTGATCTGGTTTGTTGTAGTGTATACCTAGTTTTTACTGGTCTTAGGTTTTCAAAGGCAATAGAATATTTCAGTAGAAATACATTTTTATAAAAGACTGCCAGTGATTGTTATTTTTAATTTCAGCACCAAATCATTTTTTAGATGCAAAACTTTTTCTAGGTAGCTTAGTGATATCAGAAATGTTTGTAAATTTTACATACATTGTCAGTAAATAGATTTCTAAAAATTAGTGTTTATAGATTTTTATAAGAGTAATCAGAAAAATGAAGATTCACTTTGGCCATACTCATTTAACAACAAAATCCATTTTTATACCAATCAATAGATGAGTATGTAAATTAAACAACACTTTAAACTTAAGAGTGTATAATTAATAATAAAATAGGTTTATATTTGAAACAAAGTTTGATAATTAATTTTTTCGTTCTAATTTTATTTGGTTTTAAAGTCACTTCTTGGGAAAAGACTGAATAATTTGAATAGCTTTGGTGGCTGTAGATCTGCATTTCTGGCTAGATATTTTTTTAATGTATATATATTTTACTTTTATTTTTAAAAAGTTAAGGTTAATTTTACTATCTTAATCTCAGTGGAAATACATAATTTTCCACACAAACCTTAGAAAAACAATTGTTGGCAATAAAGCTGTAGTTTATTCTTTAAAGTTCTGCTTCTTGGACATATGCATTAAAAATTATGGCAGGATAGAATAAGATGAGCCTTGTGAGTACAGCCATTTCTGAACTGTACGAACTAATTAAACATTTGAATTGTGAGCTTGGTCAAAAAGAAAAGTTTATTTTCTTAATACTTTTAAACATAGTTTCTGCCTAATTTTAGCATCTGAAAATTAAGAACATTTTAGATTAGAAAGAAAGAGTATTTCTTAGTGGTAGAGACTAAACATTTCAAAATTGAAAAAAAGTTGCTGTAAAGATTTTTCATAAATGGCTAGGATAATTGGGAAATAGAAAATTGTTAATAATTATATTTTATTGGGAAAATATTTAATGCTTTAGTTTCACAAATTTTTAATTATATAAACTTTTCACTAGTTAACATTATTTGTTGGACTTCAGCTTCAGAAACACAACTGGCAATGCCTGGTTTCTGCCTATATTGTCACTATACATTAAGTTGGAAAAATAGAAGAATACAGGCATATACATATTTAACAATTAATATGCTTTGGCAGAGTCCCAAGGGAGGAGTGTATAAATTTTATTTCCAAGTGTGTTAACTGTTTTCTTACAAATTTCAGACTGCTTTCAAGATTCATTCAAGAAATGATTCAGTTATTTACAGTGAATCATTTTAGTAATAGCAGTTATTTAAAATGTCTGACACATTCTAAACTACAGAGAGTTACTTTAAATTTTTTAATTTAGAGAGTTTGCTCTAGATGTCTGAATTTTGATTTTTTTCATAGATATGATTAATTAGGAATCTTCATGTTTTGCATGTGTGTATATTATATATTTTAATTTACAAATTGTTCTGGCTTATTTTTACTTTTCTGTTATGTCCATTTGAATCATTCTAAAAATTAAAAACTATTAAACATTTATGTTATCTTTTTTACTTGATAAAGGGATTACTTTTGATGAATTCTACAAAATTCGATTTAATTATTTGTTAAATAATAAGGTAATTTGTTATCTTTTTAGGAAAAATGAAACATGGGAAACCAATTTGGTAAATTTAGTTTTACCATTCGTACTAACTTTCTTCCTTTTTTATTTCTGAAAGCTTAAAAAAAAAAGTGCAAACACCCTCCCTCTCCCATCTTCACGGTATTAATAAATCTATATGAAGATGAAAAGTGATACTTTTTTAACACAGTAATGCCGCAGAAGAATATATTTTCTCTGTAGTAGATATGGCTAATGAAATTAGGATAGTATTTTGGAAAAGAGAATCATTGAGTATAAATTGCTACACAAATTTAGAAGTTTTTTGGCAAACTTTATGACTAACTTAATACTAAAGTCTCCAACACTTTACAGATTCATTTATTCTTTAACAGTGTATTCATTAAATACTATTTGCCAGGCACTGTGGTGGGTGCTAAGGATTCTTGTGGGTGTAAGACACATAGTCTGCTTTCCCAGAGCTTATTGTCTAGCAAAGGAGATAAACATTAAATGAATAGGTACACTCATAATTAATAGTGATAAATTCTGTGAAGGAAAAAACAGGATGCCACGAGAATGTAGTATTTTGAAATGTTTTATTTGTAAAATTATACTTGACACATGGAATAGTTGTTTTTTTCTCCCTAAATATTTAATATAGTGAACAGACCAATATATGGTGTGCCTAATATGCATAAGCAGTAACAGTAAATGTTTAGTAACTTCAGCACAGTTGTACATGTCCATGTATTTAAAAAAATTTTTTTTATTTAAAATATTTTTTTTATCTTTTATTTTTTGAGAGATAGGGTCTTGCTATGTTGCCCAGGCTGGTCTTGAACTCCTGGCCTTAAGGGATCTTCCTGCCTCAGCCTCCTGAGTAGCTGCCATGTATTTTTTATTCTTTATTCTTTTTGTATTGCTGGTGTTTGATTTTACTATTGCAGAAAAATGGCATTTTGTAACATTTAAAAATTTAAAGGTGCATTGGATCCTCCTAATTTATTGGATTCTGCTAAATTATAGCAGTACAATTCTCAGGTTTTGTAGTTAAGAACATAAATCCACTAAATAAAAATATTTTTAATACAACAATATGGAATTAGAGTAACTCTCCTTTTTCCTACTCAAAATTTGATTTGCTGAAGCTGCTTCCCGAAAATCAGGGGTTTGGACACTCTGCTCAGAACTTGTTCCGGACTCTCATATGGCAGAATCAGGTCAGGTGGCAGTATCAGGTAAAGGGAAATAAGAAACATAGTATATTTCCTCCCCCATCCCCCCCTTTTTTTCTTAAAACCATTCATTCAGGACCAACAGTAGCATGACCAGGTAAAGGGGAGGTACAAAAGAAGATTTTGGGGGTGGTTGATGCACAGAGTTCATTGATTTTTGTAATGTTTCAAAAATTAGCCTTTAGAAATGAATTGCAGTTAAACTAAAATCTGAAAAGGAGGGAAAAGGAATTATAAAAGTATAAGGACAAAACACAATATGGCAGAAAATAAGCCTTAACATTAGTGATCATTATAAATATGAATTGATTAAATTTCCCTAATAAAAAAATTGAATGTCACCAATTTAGATGTAAAGCAAAAGGATAGCCTAAAAGTAACAATGTTTCATGATTGTGAATTGGTAGAACAACATGATAGGAATCCCTATTGGTTCTTAAGGAACCTGATCAAGGGGAACATACATTAAACTAGGCAAAGTACCAGTTTTAGACAAAATTAGATGATGTACATTTGCTTTATAAATATATTGCCAAGTTTTATACTCTAAGCTAAAGATTTAAATATCTGAATTATAAGAGTACTCTGAGGAGTACTTAAGTTGTGAGCACAGTTCATTTTGTTTAAATATTGTCTTTCCAAGGTGTTTTCTCATCACACCTTTTACTTTTTCTCGTATATATATCTTATTTACTGATTTTAGCATAAACTTTTGGTAAATATGGCTTGTATGAAAAAAATAGTATGATCTGCTATGTCAATTAAAAAAAAAAACCTACTTGCACATATTAAATTGTCAGTAAATAGCGTTCAGGATCCGTTTGTTAAATGGAATTAACAGATCATCCTTATCTCTTCTTGTTTTCTAGAAATATTAAAAGTTTGTCAGATATCCAGATAGTACAGGTTGCTTGTGGTTATTATCATTCACTTGCACTTTCTAAAGGTAAGCATTGTTTTTATTTTCTTTCCCCCTTTCAGTTTTATTACTTGGAATTTCTTTAAATGAGCAGAAAGTCCTCCAACTTTGTTCTTACATTTCCAAGATTGTCCAGGCTCTTCTTGATTCTTTTCCATATAAATATTAGAATTAGCTTTTCAGTATTCTATCTCACTCTCTCTCACTTTCTCTCATGTACACACACACACACACACACACACACACACACACACACACACAGAAACTGCTGGATTTTTTTTTTTTTTTAAATTTAAAAACTTTTTTTAAAAGTAGAGATAGGGTCTCACTATGTTGCTCAAGCTGGTCTTGAACTTCCGGACTCAAGCAGTCCTCCTGCCTCTGCCTCCCAAAGAGCTGGGATTACCATGCTGGGATACTAAGGTGTGAAATACCATGCCCGGCTGGGGATTGTGATTGGAATTTCATTGTCTCTGTAAATCAATTTGAGGAAGATATTTACAATATTCAGTCTTTCAATTCTTACACATGGCATATCCCTCCATTTACTTTGTCTCTTTTTAATTTTTCTCAGTATTTTGTTTTATTGTGGATAGGTCTTAAACATCTTTTAATAGACTTTTCCCTGGGTATTTGATTTTTTGTTGTTGTGAATGGTATTATTTTTAATTATTATGTTGAAGTTGATTTTTGTGTGTAATTGTTCATTAAACACTTAAGAGGTATTCCTTCATAGTTGAGGAAGATTGCATCCCCAATCTCATTTAATCTCACAGATAAACCTTTTATGAATAAAAATGGAGAAGGCTATCTCACCTTGGCCTCCCAGAGTGCTAGCTAGGATTACAGGTGTGAGCCACGTGCCTGACCTCATATTCCTTTTCTTATCTAAATGTTTTGTTGGACCCTCCAGAACAATAAAACACAGCAGTAAGAGTGAAGAAAAAAATAGAGAAGGCTAAACATCAGCTTTGTTTGCATTCCTCTCTTATTGCTTTAACTTAGTCATATGCCAGCTAAGAGTTGGAACATGGATTAATAAAAAAACCTGCCATATGTTCATTTTTTACCATTAAAAAACAAGTTCCAGTGGCTCATTATTATTATTTTAATTTAGTAAGTGTCTGGTGAGCCTACTATGAATAAAATACTATGCTAGAACTGTAGGGACATACGGATAAAGTAAGAAAGAGACAGTTTTCGGGACCATACAGTCTAGGGGAAAAGGCAGATACAAACAAAACTATAGTTTGAGGCAGAAAAAAATACATACTGTTTTGGACAAGGTAAAAGTAAAATGCTTTGAGAATGAAGAAAAAGATGTAATTAGTTCTAATTGGTAGAAGCAGTAACAAATAAGGAGGACATTGGTATTTGGTGCAAGTCTTGAAAGATGAGTAGAATTTATTAAGAATTGGAGAATGTTGGGAAGAGGCTAGGGGAAATGTTGAGAAGTGGCTAAGGGGATAGTACTAGTAAAGGCATAGATTTAAGAAAGTGTATATGAGTATTGGCATGTAGTTTTATATGGATATTGTGAGAACATGGGAGATATACTTTAGTTGAGGCTGAGGAAAATAGAAATTTGTTATAAAGGGTCTGAATGTCATATTAAGGAATTTGGATTTCGTTAGATAGTGATGAACATGATATCTGTATGTATTCTTTGTTGCTTTGTCAACTCCTCTTTTGATATTTTGGTATGTACCTCTAACATAAATTTAAGCCTAAAGATTTTACTGATGAGTTTTCCATCTTGACCTGGGTTTTTTTTTTTTTTTTTTGAGACAGAGTCTCGCTTTGTTGCCTAGGCTAGAGTGAGTGCCGTGGCGTCAGCCTAGCTCACAGCAACCTCAAACTCCTGGGCTCAAGCGGTCCTTCTGTCTCAGCCTCCCAAGTAGCTGGGACTACAGGCATGAGCCACCATGCCCGGCTAATTTTTTCTATATATATTAGTTGGCCAATTAGTTTCTTTCTATTTATAGTAGAGATGGGGTCTTGCTCTTGCTCAGGCTGGTTTCGAACTCCCGACCTCGAGCAATCCGCCCGCCTCGGCCTCCCAGAGAGCTAGGATTAAAGGCGTGAGCCACCGCGCCCGGCCTTGACCTGGTTTTTTTTTTTTGCCTTGTTCAGCTTTGTGCTTTAGGCAATATCTTATTCATTTAACATCTTTTTGAGTACTTAGTAGGAACTAGGCACACTATAGCATACAGTGGTATATACTTACTAGTATACTTAACTAGCTCTCATGATACAGTCACACAGATAATGATATAATTATATACCGTGACAATGATTGTAAAGAAAAAGTTTAGGGTATTTAGAACATATTTCAGGGGGACTAGACTTAATCTGAGAAATCAGGGAAGGAAGGCTCCTGCTGGAATAGTAGAAGTGAACTGGACAAAGATAAAAGGGAAGGTTTAGGCTGAGGGAACAGGAAGTGTGTATGAAGTGGCCATTGGAGAATGTAAAGGAAGGCAAGAAGGTGAGTGAGGGAAGAGGCTGGTATGAAAAGAGACTGGAAACATAGGTCACACAGACCCTTATAGGCCTTGTTAAAAGTATTTATCCCAAGAGCAAATGGGAATTTTTTTTTCAGCTAAGCAACATTATCTTATGGGCATTTTTATAATATCTCTATGCATATATACAAATATCTGCTTATATGTGCATAGAACATTTTCTGGAAGGACTTATTAGTAGTTGGTAAGGCTGGTTGTCTCTTGGAAGAGGAACCAGGGATCTAATTTTTTTTGGAGGAAAGCACTCCAATGTACTATTTTGTAGTATGAATTTTAAAAATCAGTTATTAGTGTGTGTCAATTATTAGTTTAATGTCAGTTGTTGGTTTAATGAAAAGATGTCTAAAGTTGTGAAGTAGGATGGCAGTGGGGAAGCAAAAGTGACAGGCAGGGAGAATGATTATAGGAACCAGGTAAGATAGTGAGGAATGGACCTATCTGCCATATTTTTCTTAGAAAAAAAACTGTATATAACTCAGTGATAGATGATGGAATGGATGTGTATGAGGTAAAAGAGGAGAGGGGTATTAAGGAAGACTCCCTAGGTTTACAACTTGTGCTTCTGAATCAGTTATGATATCATTTACCAAAATGGGGAATGATAGAAAGAGGTCAAGGTATGGGAGTTAGGGTGGGGGTCATGAATTTAGTTTTGGGCATGCCTTTGAAATAATTCCAAGTGTTGATGTCAGGTAAACAATGGGTTACATGGGTTTATTGCTCAGGAGAGGTCTAGGCTAGTGATAAAGTTTTGAATGTGATCAGCTAACTGAAGCCTTGAGCTTGGATAAGTGCTTCTTGGGAGAAATTATAGAATAAAAGTGAGACTTCAGGAATATTAGAAAGAGTCATTTGTTGAAGAGCATAAAGAAATGAGATTGCTCTTAGTTATATGACTCACATATTCATTAGTCAGTCAAACTTAAAGCATACTAATACAGAATATTCTTCTAGATAGTATTATATTTTCATGCAGAAATAATTGCTAAAAAGAGAAATATGTGTTTTCATCTGATGAGAGGAAGAATGTCCCAAATTAATAGATGATCTTCAAATGAAATTTTTTGCATGCAAGAAAAGTAGTTAATTTTTTAATTTTTGTTTTACAGCAAGTGAAGTCTTCTGTTGGGGACAGAATAAATACGGCCAATTGGGTTTAGGCATTGACAGTAAAAAGCAGACTTCGCCACAGCTGATTAAGTCTTTGCTTGGAATCCCTTTCATGCAAGTTGCAGCTGGAGGAGCCCATAGTTTTGTCCTCACCCTTTCTGGAGCTATCTTTGGATGGGGACGCAACAAATTTGGTCAGCTAGGTCTCAATGATGAAAATGGTAGGTTCCATTATTTGTAGTTTAAATGTACTTTTAAAAAAGAGATCATCTTTTGAGATGGATCAGTGATTCTTACTGTCAGAAATGTATCCAAATCTTCCCTGGTGTAGAGGTGAGGATTAGATGTTAATTTAAAAATTTCATTTAATAATCATATGTTTTTGAGGTAGTAGAAGGCTAAAAAATATCATAAATTATAAAAAGTATGTCTGGACAAAATCTTTATTGTTGGATGTTTGTTAAAAGATAATTGAAAAACATTTAAAATTGGTGATAAAAGTTTTTCCATTACTGGCCACCATCAGTGGAAAGAAGCTATAAAATTATTCTGAAGAAGTAACATGAACCATTAATCTATTTGAGTTTTTGAAGAAAATATTTAAATGATTTGTGTTGTTAAATTAGTCTTTGGGCTTTACTTTTAACACTGATGCTAGTTAGTGTTTTGGAAATAAACATTTTGAATTTGAAAAAATTATAACTACTTGAAATAAATTGGGATCTTATAACTGGTTTTTCATAAGGTTGAATGCCAATACTTGACCTACAAAAACTAATTTCATAAAGTTCAGCATAATTGTAATGACTGAAATGGACAAAAGTGAGTTGTTGATCTAGTAACAACTGGTAATGATAAACAGATAATACTCTCGGAAAGAATTAAAGAATACTTTGTTCTGCACAGGAAAAATATGTCGGATTAGGACGTTATATATCTTTTTTGCTACAAAATAGCAGAAAGTATAATTTTCAGGCTTTTAATTAGGATCCTGTGAGCATAATTAACATGAGACAAATATAAAGAATGATGTGTATTTATGGAAAATGAGAAGCAGTTGAATAGTTTTGAAGTATCTTGATTGATGAGTCCTGTGCAGATTGGCATATTGTATATTTAACACTTAACTGTATTTTTTAAATCCCTCAGTATCACAGTAGCCTGGATAGATATACCTGGGAACTCAATTAAGTAGGCTTATTCTGCAAAATCATTGAATCATAGTTAAAATTATTTAGTCATCACTGTCTACTGAACTTTGGAAGCTGTAAAGAAAACCCATTTTATAAGAGTTTTAATTATGAAAATACTGTTACATCTCATGTTGGAATTTTCAGATAGGTATGTTCCTAATTTACTGAAGTCACTAAGATCTCAGAAAATAGTATATATTTGTTGTGGAGAAGATCATACTGCTGCACTAACCAAGGTATTGTACTTCTAAAACTTCTTTATTATTATTAATAATAGTTCTTTTGTAATGAGTGTTTTCGTGATGTTTACATTAAAATGTGTCATTAGTGTTTCAAAAATAATTCATCTTGAAAAAAACCTAGATTATTATTCATTCTTGAAAATAATTAACTCTAATTTTCAACTTTGCTTTCTTTGCAAATTGTGATATACTATCACATTTGATGATAATATTGTTCAGTTTCTCAGCTTCATACAAAGTATTGCTTAAATAATATTTTTATTTTTTCAATTTTTTTAATTTTAGTGTATTATGGGGGTACAAGAGTTAAGGTTACATATATTGCCCATGCCCCCCCCATCCCCTCGAATAAGAGCTTCAAGTGTGTCCACCCCCCAAACGTTGCACCTCTTACTCGTTGTGGTTGTATATACCCATCTCTCTTTCCCCCTCCCACACTCCCGACAACCGATAAATATTACTCCTATATGTCCACTTAGGTGTTGATTTGTTAATACCAATTAAATAATATTTTAGATAAACTGATTCCATTTTAGTTCATCAGGCTTGCCATGCTGTATCAAACCCATTTATATTATTTAGTTCTGCCTAATTGGAATTTAGCTTCCATTTGGCTTATAAATATTTCATAACAAGTAATAAAGGATATTGAATCTGTTATTCATAGGCCAGATATTGTGCAAGGACTTATAGTGAGCTTTCATCACAGTCTTGTCTATGGCATTAACTCTGACCTCTCCCTTTCGTGGGTAATTGTCAATTCAGTATCAGTATTGCTTAGTCTCTAGGGACTGTAACTTAAATGAAAATGAAAGCTTCAGCTAACCTCTATTGGATAATTATTTATTGTAGTCATTTTAACATAAAAGAACTGGAAGGTTTTCATTGGCCAAATTAGAAATTAATGCTTTTATTTCTATGTCTTTCTTTGTCTTATGTAGTAGATCAAATTGGTAAAAAGAATTGAACTTCTAAGCAGACTTAAAAGTTCTGCACTCTTCTCCCACACTGGGAATTTTAGCATGATAAGAATTATTTAATAGTCACTGTCAAATATAGTGAACTCAAAGCACTTTAAAAAATATAATGACCAATTATAAAAGTTAATATTAAAATATCTTATATACCTGTCTTTTAGTAAAGAAATTTGGCTATATGTGCCAGTCTTAAATTATTATACCATATTTTATTGAATTTACTGTTAACATTACAGATATAATCACTGAAGTCTTATTTGGCATGTTTTAAATTTTAGTCATTCTTGTCTGTCATTGGTATTTGGAAGAAATAAGGCTATGTAGAAATAATAGTAAAAATATTTCATATCAAAATTTAAAAGACATTTTGTGTGGTATCATTCCAGAAACTAATTTTGTGGTAGAAAGACTTACAATGTTGATGATTTCCAACTTCAGCCTTTGAAATAACTACTCATCTTAATGTTCCAGGATACGTAATAATTTGTATCTATTGAGTTTTTAAAAGTACTGATTGTTCTGCTAATTTTCTTTATTCCCCTCTCAGAAGATAGTAGCTGATGATGTTTTTTCCCCACTGGAATTTTTGGTGTACGTTATTTTTATCAAAATCAGATAGTTTTAAATATTACTGAAATAAAATATTTTTTCCTGATTTAAGACAAAATATATATTCCATATCCATGTATCTTTTGCTTTTCTGGAAGAATTTCTTGTAAATAGATTAAGATTGCTTTATGAAGCAGTTTTCTTTTTTTTTGAGACAGAGTCTAGCTCTGTTGCCTGGGGCTAGAGTGCTGTGGCTTCAGCCTAACTCACAGCAACCTCAAACTCCTGGGCTCAAGCAATCCTACTGCCTCAGCCTCCTGAGTAGCTGGGACTACAGGCATGTGACACCATGCCTGGCTAAGTTTTTCTGTATATTTTTAATTGGTCAGTGAATTTATTTCTATTTATAGTAGAGACGGGGGTCTCACTTTTGCTCGGGCTGGTTTTGAACTCCTGACCTAGAGCGATCCTCCCACCTCGGCCTCCCAGAGTGCTAGGATTACAGGCATGAGCCACGGTGCTCGGTCTCTGAAGCAGTTTTCTTGTGCAAAACCTACATTAGGAAAACTGCATTAAGGAAACTACATTAGGGACTTTTAAAAACAGAATATATGGGAAGACATGCTATGTTAATGGATATGAGGATACCTCCATAAAGATATCACATTTTTTTTTTTTTTTTTTTTTTTGCTAGAGAGAGTGCCGTGGCATCAGCCTAGCTCACAGCAACCTCAAACTCCTGGGCTCAAGCGATCCTGCTGCCTCAGCCTCCCGAGTAGCTGGGACTACAGGCATGCGCCACCATGCCCGGCTAATTTTTTCTATATGTATTAGTTGGCCAATTAATTTCTTTCTATTTATAGTAGAGACGGAGTCTCGCTCTTGCTCAGGCTGGTTTCAAACTCCTGACCTCGAGCAATCCACCCGCCTCGGCCTCCCAGAGTGCTAGGATTACAGGCGTGAGCCACCGTGTCCGGCCAAGATATCACATTTTTTAAAGTTAAAAATTTATTATGTAAATCACATTTATTGATAACTTTTGTCTTAGCAATCCCACTTTTAAGAATCTACCCCCAAAATATGAAATTAAGTATGCACAATATTGTGGCATTATTATTATTATTATTTTGTTTTTGAGACAGAGTCTCTTTTTGTTGCCCAGGCTTAGAGTGAGTGCCGTGGCGTCAGCCTAGCACACAACAACCTCAAACTCCTGGGCTCAAGCAATCCTACTGCCGCAGCCTCCCGGACTACAGGCATGCACCACCATGCCCGGCTAATTTTTTCTATATATGTTAGTTGGCCAATTAATTTCTTTCTATTTATAGTAAAGACGGGGTCTCGCTCTTGCTCAGGCTGGTTTCCAACTCCTGATCTCAAGCAATCCGCCCATCTGGGTCTCCCAGAGTGCTAGGATTACAGGCGTGAGCCACCGCGCCCGGCCTATTGTGGCATTATTTTAATAGTGATGAAATCCAAATGTCTATTGAATATGAGCTTAGTTGAATAAATTGTGGTATGTCCATGCAATGAAGTATAGTGAACTGTAAAACAGAATCAGGGAGATCTCTATTTTATGCTGTAGAATGATCTCCAGGATATATTGTTAAGTAAAAAGAGCAAGGTGTAGAATAGCTATCTTTTGTGTATATAAGAAAGGTAGTAAAATATAAACATATTGCATGCTGTTTATATTTTTTAAAATCAAAGAATAAATTTAAAATTAATAGCTAAAAGAAATGTACCTTGCCTTACAGTTTTGATTTTGGAATCTAGAAACTGTTATGTATAATTAAATTTTATATATAGTATATAAATTATACATAAAAGTTATATATATTATTAATCCTTAAAAATTGTAAACAAACAAGAATTATTTTAGGTGATTTTAAAATATAGTGTTTCTCTGTATATCATCACTAGGGGGAAATATACTAAGGATAAACCAAATCCACAAAGAAGTCTTAAACTATATTCTGTAGTTGTATTGTTACTGTCTTTTCCAATGTTACATCTATAGGATAAAGCAAATAAGTTGTTATTTTACTGTCATTAGAAATAGGATAGGATAAAAAAAATATATATATATATCCCATATGTAAGTATAGCAAGTAAGTAGTTATTTTACTATCATTAGAAACTGGATTTTCAGCTTTAAGAGAAAAGAGATAGAAGTTAAGTTAAAGATTCTGTGATCTTTAATTTGAATCACAAGTATTAGTGTGAATTCTTGATTTATTTTTCTCCTTCTAAAACTATGTTGTTTTTGTTTTGTTTTTGACATTGTCATTGAAAGGGTCCCAGAAGTAATGAACCATGTGCAATCTAGATTCAATGAGCATTTCTTGATTGTTGTAGATTCTCCATTTAAAGGAACCAGGGCTGCTTACAGAAGAATCTTGATTCCATGTCTGGGGCAAAAAAAAAATGTATTAGGAATACCTTTGGGCATTTTGTGGTACAAAAAAACAAAGATTACTAGGCTAGAGTCCTGTCAGAAGGACAATTTGAAGGAGCTTCACTGAGTATCAAAATAAATAATGACTGCAACAAATGGAAATACATCAAATGTATAAAAATCCATGAGAGGCCTGGCGCTGTGGCTCACACCTATAATCCTAGCACTCCGGGAGGCAGAGGTGGGTGGATTGCTCAAGGTCAGGAGTTTGAAACCAGCCTGAGCAAGAGCGAGACCTGTCTCTACTATAAACAGAAAGAAATTAATTGGCCAACTAATGTATATATAGAAAAAATTAGCCGGGCATGGTGGCACATACCTGTAGTCCCAGTTACTCGGGATGCAGGAGGATTGCTTGAGCCCCGGAGTTTGAGGTTGCTGTGAGCTAGGCTGATGCCACGGCACTCTCTCTAGCCTGGGCAACAAAGTGAGACCCTGTCTCACCAAAAAAAAAAAAAAAATCCATGAGATTGTATTGATCTTCCTCTCTCCCTTGATCAATACAATTTATTGCTTGCGTTTGGGAGTTGTTAAGACAACTCATCTTTTAAAAAATTGAAAAATAATGAGACAGAGTTAAGCATTTACCCTGCCTTTCATTTGCAAATTGTATTGCAAGGTAATTTAATAGTTGATGAGTTAAGTTCTTTATAGAAGATTTTCAGCTCATAAATCTAGAAGAAATAATAAAATTAGAAAATCACAATTTTATTCTCCCTGATGAAATAATGGTTCTAGGCAAAGAACATTAAGCTGAATGGGGATGAATTAGACTTTGACCTACTTATTTGTTTTTGACTTCACCAACAAGACACATGCTTTGTGACACGATGCAGTAAAATAATCCAGGAAAATTTAATCATGGCCTAGATTGTGGGTAGATATTTTTATCTGTTAGAGATAGATGCTGTTAAAGATGCATACGCATTTATGGGTGAAATAATTTGATGACCACAATTTGCTTTAAATTACTGCAGCGCTTTTTTTCTCCCAAAAAGGAAGGGTAGTGCCTTAATGAAACAAAATAACCAGTGCTTTGCCAGTTATTGAAACTGAGTGATTGTTATATGATGATTTACTATACTTTATCTTTTGTGTATTTGTTAGAATTTTTCTATAAGTTTTGAAAAGAAAAATCAGTTTTCTTACAAGCAATATATATAAGAATTTAGTATTATTAAATAATGAAAGTAAGATGTAGGCCTGGCGCTGGGGCTCACGCCTGTAATCCTAGCACTCTGGGAGGCCGAGGCGGGCGGATTGCTCAAGGTCAGGAGTTCAAAACCAGCCTGAGCGAGACCCCGTCTCTACCATAAAAATAGAAAGAAATTAATTGGCCAACTAATATATATATAAAATCAGCCGGGCATGGTGGCTTGTGCCTGTAGTCCCAGCTACTCGGGAGGCTGAGGCAGGAGGATAGCTTGAGCCCAGGAGTTTGAGGTTGCTGTGAGCTAGGCTGACGCCACGGCACTCACTCTAGCCTAGGCAAGAAAGCGAGACTCTGTCTCAAAAAAAAATAAATAAATAAAAAATAAAAATGAAAGTAAGATGTAGAATTGCATATGTAGCTATAACTGAAGAAAAGCAGTTGAACTGAAAAATACTAATTGTGGTTGTGTTAAGTTGTCATGATGGATTTTTAAAAAAAATATGTAACCTCTAATTCAGTTACATGTTTATAAAACATAATAAAATTTTTTGAAGACCATCTCTATGTTTCAGCAGCTATATACTAAAAATTGCTATGTTTGTACACTTTGCTTACACATACTCTTTGCAAAGCATTTATGTTCAAAGCATAGCTAGCTTGCAAACTGAAGACAATACCATTTTCAGGTTTTATAAATGTTTACTTGGAATTCATCAGGAGAGTATGATAATGAAAGGCAATGAAAATAAATAATTATTAGTATCTCTTTAATGATGATTTCAACTAAATACTTTATAATGGTTAAAACATCATTAAATACTTTTTAAAATGTATGAAAATACTTAGTGTTTAACCTAGAATTCTTAGTTTTAAGGCATTTTACCTTGAAAGAGTCAGCTATCATCTATTGAGTTGTAAAGACAATAGAAGAGAAAAAATTGAGTCCATATTAAAGATTAATTTATTTTAGCGGAGATCAGTTGTTTTCTTTTATCAGTCCTTCTAATGTTAAGGGGTTTTGTCTATTTTTAGGAAGGTGGAGTGTTTACTTTTGGAGCTGGAGGGTATGGTCAGCTGGGTCACAACTCTACCAGCCATGAAATAAACCCAAGGAAAGTTTTTGAACTCATGGGAAGCATTGTTACTCAGATTGCTTGTGGAAGGTAAGCTGTTATATAAAAGAGCATTTTGGTCTGTATACTATAATTGATTAGGGATTATTTAATGAATTATTTTAGGGATCTAGTAATCTTAGATGAAACATTCTTCCCAGATTGTCTGATTTGCTTTTGAGGAGTCATCGTGGTAGGAGAAACACCTTTTGTACTGATTATTTTACCTATATCTACTTGAGACATTTAGCTGAGGCAAAATGTTAGTAATGTAATACTGTATTTGTTGTATTTGGCATCACATTTGAAAGGGGAACCATAGATCCTAGTTTTTTCTATGTTTTTTCCTTAAGAGATGAGGAAATTGACCAGTTATTAAGACAAAATTAGTTAGTGGTAAAAGTTTAATTGGTATACTGATCTCCTGGGTCTCAGTTCTTGGGAATAAATAGAAGAATCTTTGAAATTGAGCTTCATCTTTGGGGATATTACATTGAGGAGACTCCTACGTAGGAAAATGTACCTTTCTTGACCACTTAATTTTGACCACTTAGCTTATGTTTTTCCATCTTGTATGTATCCCTATATAATCTAGTTTAGTTTGGCAACTATTAGCTTCAAACACATAAAATCATATTGTAAGTATGCTTTTGGTGACTCATTTTTCCCCTCTTAACATGCTTGTATGATTTTTGGTGCTTGTATGACATTTGGGTGTTTCCAGTTTTTGACTATTACAAATAATGTTGCTTTCTAAAACATGAACCCTTGGGAAAAAAGAAAGAAAAGAAACAAGTAGTGTTGCTTTGAACATTTATTATGTGGTATACATAAACCTTCATATACACCTAGAATTGAATTGTTAGATTACTTAATTTGTATTTTGTATTTTAAGCTGTATTTTCCAGATTGGTTTTATGAGTTTACATTCCCATTAAGAGTGCATGAGGGGGGGCTTGGGCAATATATGTAACCTTAATACTTGTACCCCCATAATATGCTAAAATTTAAAAAATAAAATAAATAAATAAATAGTCATTTTATTATTTTCTTCTTAAAAAAAAAAAAAGAGTGCATGAGATTTGCTGATGCTCCATGTCCTTGTTACCATTTGGTATTGTCAGACTTCTAAATTTTTGCTCATCTCTTGGATATTTATATTGTTACTTCCTCATAATTATAATCTGCATCTCCATGATTCACTTGAGTACCTTTTCATATGTTTATTGGCCATTTACATTTCCCTGGGATATAAAATATTGATTTATAGTAGTTTTTAATGTACTGTGGTTATAAGTTCATAATGTATTATTTCCCAATCAAGGGGTAAAAGTTCTTTATTGGGAATATGTTTTGCAGATGTCTTCCCATTCTTTGTCTTATCATTTTCATTGTTTTCTTCTGATGAACAAACGTTTTAAGTTTTTTTTTTTTTGAGACAGAGTCTCGCTTTCTTGCCTAGGCTAGAGTGAGTGCCGTGGCGTCAGCCTAGCTCACAGCAACCTCAAACTCCTGGGCTCAAGCGATCCTCCTGCCTCAGCCTCCCGAGTAGCTGGGACTACAGGCACGAGCCACCATGCCCGGCTGATTTTTATATTATATATATTAGTTGGCCAATTAATTTCTTTCTATTTTTATGGTAGAGACGGGGTCTCGCTCAGGCTGGTTTTGAACTCCTGACCTTGAGCAATCCGCCCGCCTCAGCCTCCCAGAGTGCTGGGATTACAGGCGTGAGCCACCGCGCCCGGCCACGGTTTAAGTTTTAATGCAGATGAATTTATCAATCTTTTACTTATGGTTAGTGCCATTTATTTCTTAAGAAATCTTTTCCTACCTGAAAACTTAAAGTAATCATCTCCTTTCTCTTCAGAAACATAGTTTTGCCTTTTACATGAAGATCCATAAGCTATCTAAAGTTGATTTTTTTTTTTTTTTTTTTTTTTTTGAGACAGAGTCTCCCTCTGTTACCTGGGCTAGAGTTCCATGGCATCAGCCTAGCTCACAGCAACCTCAAACTCCTGGGCTCAAGTGATCCTTCTGCCTCAGCCTACTGAGTAGCTGGGACTAAAGGCATGTGCCACCATAGCCGGCTAATTTTTTCTATTTTTCGTAGAGATGGGGCCTCTCTCTTACTCAGGTTGGTCTCGAACTCCTGAGCTCAAATGATCTGCCCTCCTTGGTCTCCCAGAGTGCTAGGATTAGTACTCACAGGCGTGAGTCACCACGCCCAGCCTAAAGTTGATTTTTTTAGGGGGGAGGAGGTATATAATCTTAACAAATCTAATTTTTTATATGAAATATTACCATTTAAACAAAATTTTTTTGTGGTAAAATCTATACAAGTTACCATCTTAACTATTTTTAAGTATACAGTCAGTGGTATTAAGTACATTCATATTGTTGTCAAACCGTCGCCACTAGAGAGTGGTGATACTCCTTTCATCTTGCAAAATTGGAACTCTATGCCCATTCAACAATATCTCCTCATTCTCCCTCACCCCCTCACTTCAGGCAACCACGATTCTAATTTCTGTCTGTATGAAATTGACTACTCTAGATACTTACATAAGTGGAATCTTAGAGCATTTGTCTTTTTGTGTCCAGCTTATGTCACTCTGTATAGTATCCTCAAGGTTCATCCATATTATAGCATATGTTAGAATTTCCTTCCTTTTTAAGGCCAAATAGTATTCCATTGTATGTATATGCTATATTTTGCTTATCCATTAATCTGTCAGCGGATAATTAGGTTTCTTCTGTGTTTTAGCTATTGTGAATATTGCTGCTATGAACATGGGTTATAAATGCTTTCAGTTCTTTTGAGTGTATACCCAGAAGTGGAATTTGTAGATCATATGGTAATTGTATTTTTAATTTTCTTAAGAACTGTCATACTGTTTTCCATAGTGGCCGCACTTTTTCCCCACGGCACTGCAGAAGGGTTTCAATTTCTTTACATCCTTGCAAACACTTGTTATTTTCTGTCTTTTTTTTCTGTTTTTTTTTTTTTTTGTTTTGATCATATCCATTCTAATAGGTATAAGGTGGTATCTGATTGTGGTTTTCAATTGCATTTCTTAACGAGTAATAATGTTGAGCATTTTTCACATGTTTATTAACCATTTGAACATCTTTGGAGAAATATCAATTTAAGTCCGTTGCCCATTCTAGAAACTGATTGTTGTTGCTTTCTGGGAATTCTCAATGTATTCTGGATATCAATCCCTTATCAGATGATATATAATTTGCAGATATTGTCTTCCATTCTGTGGGTTGTCTTTGTATTCTGTTGTTAGTGTCTTTTGATGCACAAAAGTTTTTAATTTTCGTTAACTCCAGTTTGTCTATTTTTTCTTTTTTCGGGTGTGCCTTTGGTGTCTTATCCAAGAAATTGCCAAATTTAATATCAGGAAGCTTTCCCCTGTTTTCTTCTGTGAGTTTTATAGTTGTAGTTTTTACATGTAGGTCTTTGATCTATTTTGAGTTAATTTTTATGTATGACATGAGTCTAGCTCTATTCTTTTGCATTTGACTATCCAGTTTTCTCAGCAGTGTTTGTTGAAAATCTTTTCTCCTCATTCAATGGTCTAAACACAATTGTCAAAAATCATTTGAAGTATTCCTTTGTAGAACTGGAACAAGACAAGAATGCCCACTATCACCACTTCTATTCAACACAATGCTGAAAGTCTTCACCAGAGCAATCGGACAAGAGAAGGAAATCAAGGGTATTCACGTGGGGAAAGAAGAGGTCAAACTATTACTCTTTGCTGACGATATGATTTTATATCTAGAAAACCCCAAAGACTCAACCAAGAGACTCCTGCAATTGATAAATAAATTCAGCAAAGTCTCAGGCTACAAAATCAATGTACACAAATCAGTAGCTTTCATATATACCAATAAGAGTCAAGCTGAGAATCAAATCAAAGATGCAGTGCCTTTCACAATAGCAACAAAGAAAATAAAATACCTAGGAATATATTCAACTAAGTTGATGAAAGACCTCTATAGGGTCTACAAAACACTGAGGAAAGAAATTGTAGAGGATGTAAACAGATGGAAAAACATATCATGCTCATGATCGGCAGAATCAACATTGCTAAAAGGTCTATAGTACCCAAAGTGATTTACAGATTCAGTGCACTCATTAAAATACCAACATTATTTTTCGCAGACCTAGAAAAAATAATTCTACACTTCGTATAGAACCAGAAAAGACCATGAATAGTTAATTCAACCTTAGTAATAAGAATAAATTAGGAGACATCACTTTATTAGACTTCAAGCTATACTATAAGGCTATAATAACCAAAACAGCATGGTACTAGTAGTGGCGCACGCGCACACACACACACACACACACACACACACACACAAAAAAAAACAGAGACATAGATTGATGGATCAGAACAGAGAACCCATATATGAATCCATCCTCATATTGCCATCTGATCTTTGGCAAAGCAGACAAAAACATAACACTGAGGTAAAGAAGCCCTATTCAATATATGGTGCTGGGGAAATTGAGTAGCCACATACAGAAGATTGAAACAAGCATCTGTACCTCTCACTACTCATAAAAATTAATTCATTATGGATAACAGACTTAAACCTAAGGCACGAAACTATAAAAATTCTAAAAGAAAATGTCAGAAAAACTCTGTACATATAGCAGTTTAGGCAAATAATTTATGAAGAAGACCCCAAAAGCAATCACAGCAACAACAAAAATAAATAGGACCTGATCAGATTAATACGTTTTTGCATAGCCAAGGAGACAGTCAATAGAGTAAATAGAAGAAAACATTTATTTGCATGCTGCATATCCGATAAAGGGCTGATAACCAGAATCTATAAAGAACTCAAGCAAATCAGGAAGAAAAAAATTAAACAACCCTATTAAAAAGTGGGCAAAGATGTGAATAGAAACTTTGCAAAAAAGACTAATGACCAACAAATGTATGAAAAAATGCTCAGTGTTCCTAATCATCAAGGAAATGCAAATCAAAACCTCAGTGAGATACCACCTGGTTTCAATGAGAATGGCT